CAACAAAGTAACTGTATTCTAAATACCACCTTTTTAAACGGTAACTGTAACGGAATACAGTTACTCATATTTTGTATTTTAAATACGTAACGGCGGTACGTGTATTCCGTTACTCCCCAACACTGTACGGCTGATGGATGTTAGTGGAGAGTTTAGCAAATGTGTGTTTGGTGAGATCTTTACAGCAGGTATCTCCATCTCATATCAGAACATCCCAGATCTTTAAGCATATATGAAATGTTTATTTAACTTTTACCAGTAAGAGAAACCAATGGTATATAAGAACCAAAAAAGCACCACGCAAACACCTCTTTTACAGTGATAACAACCATCAAACACCAGCATGGTGAGTTCCTATGCCATGACTGCCTGTGTATCACACACCCCTGCAGCTCAAAGACACTTTGGAAATGAAGTGAAAGTGGGAACTACCGCAAAAATCTGTTTTTCTAACTTTGGCATGCGTAAATGCGATTAACAGCGTAGTCAGTCATGAAAATAAATGCAAATGTGGGGTTGACGTTAAAAGACTTTCTGTGAAAGCTGGAATGTGCGCAAGAAAACTTCCAAAAATGAGTTGAATACACCAATCACCACCTCCCTGATCCCACAGTGACGTCTTCAAATAGCTTTATTGAGTTGTCCAAAAGTTTAAAAGATTTTTTTCCCTATAATGTCAAACTGCCAGAAACGAGTACAAAGCAAACATCTGGCATCTCTGAGTCCTACTCATCCCAGTAGATCAAAGTTTTCGCAGCTTGGCTGATCAATGAATCAGCTTAGTGCTCAGTAAATGCTTCTATTATTAATCATTTATTATCTTTATTTTTGTCGTTGTTGTCAAGTTCAAAGCTATGACTTTCAAACCCAGCTCTTTACAGATGAGGGATTTTACCCAGCCCCGCGCTATCTTTCTGCCTCAGAATGACTCATTTACTGGCAATTTAAAAGTGAGTTAGCCAAACTAAAAGAGAGGCAAAACACAAGCACCCTCTCCAGCCACGTCGGGCTGCACAGGCAAGCAGGGAGATTTCAAAAACCTCTCCGAGCTGAGTGAGTGCTCAGTCATGCAAGATGACATTTTTATAGCTATGCATAATGCCACCGCGAGGCAGTGACTTCTTTACTGGGAAGAATGCTGCTTAGCTATATCTGAAGTGACAGGGCAGGGGATTTGTTTCGACACAGAGTATCAACACCAGTCTCACCCTGCAGATTCACGCTTTAACGCAGTGCAACAAAGCATCTGGAGGACAAACTGAAGGTAATGAAGACGTCAGAGTGAAGGAACGGGAAAGTTACAGGTAAGGATCGTGAGTCACAGAGCCTGGAACTAAACCCTAATTCTGTTTTTAATTAAGCTGAGGGCGGGGGGCACATTAACCAATCACGCTCTGTTTAAAAATCGTAAAAAAAAAAAAAAGGAAAAACACTTCACATTTTGGGCGTGTGGACCTCGCAAGCGTTGGGCGTTTGAAGTGATAAAGACAACAACGCATTATAGCCTCCAGTACGTGTGGGTTGGGGCGACATAGAGGACGTTCTTCGCTATTTTTGGCCACAGGAAACGGTGTGATGTGTCAAGAGGAAATTATATGATTAGGGGAAAAAAGGCATGTTTGTCTAATAAGAAAGCTGCACAGGAAATCTGTTCAGCGCTTCAGATTCGCAAACAAAGGGAGAGATACAAGTTATGAAGCATGGATTGAACAGACAGTTGTACTAAAAGAGAGTGTTAACTTAACTCTCCGTTTGTGTCGTTATGATTCTCTATCAGAGCTTTACAGTCTGCAAAGTGTGTCTGCAGACCTGAAAACTACTCTTTTGTTCCCAGTCCTCTGGCCCGATACTCTCAGCTTGAGCAATGAGACAAAACAAAGTTGTTTTTTTAGAGGTTCTGGCAAAGATGCTCAGTGCTCTTCCCCTAATCGCAGCAGTCAGTCTTGAGCATTTTCCAACCTGTTCGTGTTTGTTTAATGGCCACCGGTGACCCCTTCCACCCCATCTTCCTTATCAGCGTGCAGCACACATGGAGGAGCGTGGTTTCTGCAAAGACGCAAAGGTCCTTTCACGGCGTAACGCCTTGATGGCTTTTATCTGCCGAACAGTGTCCCCAACCTTGAGTACGGCTATGGAGTGGAATACATATTACGGCAGCCTGCCAGCGTGGGTAATCTCCACGGCCACATAGTGGCCATTATGGCACAGCTGGCGTGCAAGACAGGAGGAAATGCAAGGCTGAAATTAGAAAGCTGGAAGACAACATGCCCTCAATCTTAAACACAAATAGCAGCTGACGATATCTGAGATACTGCCACGGTGCTGATTTATTCAGGTCATCTGTCTTTGTGGCAGCTTCTTTGTAACAAACGAAAATAAAAATCACACCTGATAAGCTTTTCTGTAAATAGTTCTAGCAGACTACTTCCCATAATGTCTGACTCATGTTCAAGTGAAACCAAATGGGAGCCCAGGCTGCTCCGTACACAGTAGAAGCCTTTATGAAGTGCACTTTGTCTTTCAAGGTGACCTTTTACCCCATTTAACACCAACAGAGGACTGAGACCATGCCCCGCCTTCACACATAATAAGGCACAAATGATCGAGATGTTGAGCTCACGTGACAGTTCATCACCCTGTTGTGCTTTGTGTTTGATCTCCTCTTTGACAACACTTCCACCTAACCACATCAGTCAAGCTCTCTGGCCATATTTCAGCCACATACTTTAGAAACTCGTGTCTGCAAAAGCGAAAAAAGAGAAAATTAAAGCAGCCCTGCAGATGCATGATGGGGTGTCCTTTAAAAGATCTGGCTTTTGTGAAGCCTGCGTCCTTGAGCACAACGTAGGCAGTTTGATAGATGAGGATAAGGCTCACTCAAAGCACGATTATAACCCGACACCCTCACTTTGAAACTTCCCAGAGGCTAGGAAAGATGGGGATGAGAAAGCGGAGACGTTCATTTAGGGAGAGCCTTGAGGAAATCGGCTCTTAAACGGAAACACCCCCCACCCCCCTCACTCCTCACCTCTTTACATTCACGCTGGCCCCTCTACTAATTGGTCTCCCCTGTTTTCGTCCCTTAAGAGGCTCTTCCGGACGCACGCCGACTCCTGCGGGCGATTTCCTCGGAAACTTTGCAACAACATTGTGCTCGAGCAGGGAGGGCGACTGGGAAGAGCTGCTGTCCTCCTCCGGCTCCTCTCCAACTTCTTTCAACAGCGGATCATCCGCGGCGTTGCCCCCCAAAAAGTACAAAAGTAAGAAAACTCCAAAACACACGGCGATCACAACTACTTTGCAGTGGATCCGCATGGTGAGAGCAACTTGTTGCGGTTGGAAGAGGCGGTCGGGACTGCGCTCATGTCTGCGGCGGAGGGAGGGCAGCGCGAGCTGACATTTTCTTACCGCTCCCCGCTCGCATTTTTCCGCAGATGATGATGGAGAGCGGAGTGCTGCTTCTCATCGTCCATAGAGGATTATACGGCGGAGGCGTGGCTTCCCCAGCCTTGCCGTAATGATTGAAGTAATAGCGCCACACGATATTTCGACCAGACCTAAAGTATCTGAAATGTCTGTCTGTTTTATTACGCCACAGCTTACCTTCCTAAGGCAATGCTAATGCTTATGATTAAATCTTAATGAATGCAATAGATTAACGATGGTGTCAGACTAGCTGCTGATTTGGCCATGGGAGTAATTTCATTCAGGGGATGGGAATTTTCAGCGAATTTAAGTCGCGGTGCTACACTAGAACTGAGGGTTAAATATTCAATGTAAAGATTCGTGGTGCTTTCTTTCTTGTGTATGATCGGCAGAATCCTTGTCTTTGTGTTCCTTATTTATGTATTTATTTTACATAGACATTTAATGTAAAACCATTAATGAAAGTTAAATCAGCTCTGACTTTGGGTTTCACAGATCCTGTATTTAAAACCACGCTTAGCTAAAAGTGCTTCAGATGACTGGGGATAGAAGAGTACAAACAAAAATGATCTGCTAGAATACTTACAAGTTTGCATTGACAAGGGAGTGTTTCTCTTTGTGTCACACCACCTACAGTGGAGGTGCTTTCATCATGTCCAAAATTAAGGGAATGAAAAATAGATGTGTGTCACTTAAGCAGTTACATTATTATTATTATTATTATTATTATTATTATTATTATTATTATTATTATTATTTTAATATTTTAAATAATAATATTAATTAAAGTATCAAGAGTGGCTAAATGTCCTGATTGTCCCCAATTTCAGCATATATCTACTAATATATAAGTTATAAATGATTTTAAATAAATTTATTATTATGTCATCTTCTGACAAAACCTTAGATTTTTCATTTCAATTGTTGACAGTAATGATTTTTTTTTTAAAATCAGCACTTTTTAACTGCCGTTTTCAACTCTGTATTACGGTAAAAGATGGACGCCACATCAAAGAGCAGCCAGCACTGCTTTTTGGGATAAGTCACAGTATTTGGGGTGAGTGTGGCTGCGTGTTAACTTTTTTCAACATGCGTTGTTTCAGCGATTTACTTGAACGTATTCGCAAGTCAGTTTTCAATAAATACAGCAGATTAAAAGTCCTGTTGTAGCGGCTAGTACTACTGCGTGCTACATCAGCCCCAGACATGTGTTAGCTTGCTATACAGGCTAGTAGCTTGCTAACCACGAGCGGAACTTCGTTTAAAAAATTTGTCAAAATTGTTTGGCATAAAGATTATCAATACCGCTCTCGCCTCATTGACTAGCACTTAATGTCGCGTAATTGTTATGGTGTGAGGTTAAATTCGGGCAGTTAGAAAGCTAATAAACAACACGTTTTTGAATAAAAATGTTTATTGTTTATGCACTGTGTATGTACATACCCAATTCATATTTCGCTCTTAGACTGCGGTAATGTCACGTTAATGAATTGCTTACAGATGATTAAGAAATGAATTTCAGCTGTCACACCGGAGACAGGTTTTTCATTGCAGCTTCAAGAACATGATAAGACAAAATTTAGAGATCTCACGTGTTTGCCAAAAAGCAGTACCAGTTTTAATGTCCAGATTTCTTTAACGTAGTTTGGTGTGATACTGCGTCTAGGCGACCGAAAACATGAAGGACTTAAAAGCTAGCATTAAGCCACCAGAAAGACCCCTTTTGTAAGTTACTAAAGATACAAGAAGCTGCCCGTTATGTTTGACGTGACCTGTGTTGACAGTTTTCACTGTCAGTGGGACGTACGTGGTCTGGTCACGTGGTCAGCAACATTTAATAGAGTTATCCACCAGGTGGCATGCTATAATCAGCTGCCCCGTGTTAACACGGTCGGGCATGCATTCCTATACAGTGAAATTGACGCTTATGTCATTTCTGTAATTTATGCTACAGAGCAGTATTACATCATCATTCAAGATGATAACGCCTGCGTTTGACCTGAGCCAAGAGCCTGACCACCTGATCCTCAGCATCCGTGTGCCCTACACCAGAACGTCAGACTTTGACCTTTACATTGATGGAACAGATTTAAAGTTTTTTGCAAAGCCCTACTTTCTGAGGTGAGTTAAGCAATGTACAGTTAATTGTTTCAAATGGCACCACCTACACCGGGCCTAAATTAATATTCAGAATGTTTGTTTGTTTGTTTTTCAATCGCAATGTTGAACTTAAAAGGGACGTAATATTTGATTTTCAGGCTAACTCTTCCTGGAAGAATTATAGAGGATGGAAGGGAAAAGGCAAAGTTTGACATAGATAAAGGTAGGTCGCACGGCATTAACGGTATGACGCAAATCAAAAGCTTGCTTGGGTGTTTTAGCTGCTCTAATTGGGTACCAGAGGACCACCTCCCCCTTTGTAAAGTTCCTGCTTGTGAATGTCTCTCACTCTGCAATGAATAAAATATTAGCACTCGATGAGGCAAGAGGGGGAAAAAGCAACTGTTGTCTTTTCCATTGTTTTTAAAAAAAAAGCTTCTTGTTAAAAAAAAAAACATGCGACATTTCTTTTCAGTATCAAACATCTAATCTGCTTATATTAACCACTGAATTATACCATAATTTCCAATAATCCAGAAACTGAATAGGAGCTGTGAGGAGGCTTCGTAGACTGAATGACGATTCAGACACAAGACCTCTGGTATGAAACACAGTGTCCCTGTGTGGAGGGATACACAGAGTGTTTCAAGTACTTGGGAGAACCTGTTACTGTCCCATTGCACATAGTCACTTGTTGTATGGCCCCGTTTTTCTTTTTGTAGGAGCCTGGCTGTGTGTTTGGGTGATTTGTCAGGCTGCAGACTTTATTTGTGACTAATGTTATGTGATGTTAGCTCATAACCAGCTGTTGTTGTTTAGCCGGCTTGTTGTCAGCTGTCTGGAGACAGGAGGGTCGCACGTCTAATATGCTGACGATAAAAAAAACAAATTCAAATTCAAATTTTATTTGTCACATACACAGTGCAGTGAAATGCTTACACAACTGCTCGTGACCTAAAGAAAAAAAAGAAAAGGCTATGAATAAGATAGGAAATAAATATGAAAATTAAAAAGGGTAAATTTAAC